GTCATGGGTGGATACTGCTAGTAGGATTTGGGTTGTTTTACTACTTTTGAACATACTACACTATAAGGATTTTATTCTAATGTTATTTTTACCTTGGACAATTTGGTTTGGATAATTTTTTTTTTTATAAACTTCTCGTTACATTTGCAAACTTTATCTCGAATATTTGTGCGATATTAAATACTTGTTCTTATTGTTATTATGAAATCCTATTCGCGGATGTTTAGAGTGATTAATAAAAATGATTAGTATGTTGTTAAGATACTGAAATAATTAAATGTGTGATCATGTAATGAAAGGATTCAATGGAAGTGCCTTCTTGAATTATTATTTCTCTAATTTAGCTTAAGCGGTTATGATGAATTGACTCATGGTTGAATTGAGAATATAGTAGATTGATATTAGTAATGTTGGGTAGTATGAGAGAAAATTTTATTAGAACTATCCGTGGATGTGCCCATGAATGAGTAATGAAACTTGAAGGTTGAAATTAATTCCCTTGTGAGAATGTATTGTAATTGGTAAGTTAATTCATTATGATGTTGATTGGAATGATCTCTTGTACAAGTTTATTTTGGATGTACTGTTTTATAGATGCCTTAAATTTTAATATAGTAATATGGGATCTTGGTAGAAATTAGGTGTTACATAGTACATTAATAATTTATTATTTTAATTAAGAATTAGTATTAATATTTTTAACTAAACAATAATTAAATGATAAAATAATATTTTATAAAATATTATTTAATAATTATTTTACTAAATTTAATAAATTTTAGTATGTTTAAATATTCTTTAATAACTTTTAATAATTATAAATTCATTATAACTTAAGTTTATACATGATATGATTATTTTTAATATAAATATAAATATATAGAATCTTAAATGATTATTTTTAATAAATTCTATATAGATATATAGATATAGATAGATTTTTTATTATTAAAAAATATACACTTAAAATTTAACAATTAGTAAATATTTACATAAATTAACATATAAATAAGAAATTAAACTATTAGTTAATTTATTAATTTATATGTAATATATAAATATATATATTTTAATTTATCGTATACATACTATTTTTTTATATTATATTAATGCTATGATGTAGTTAATTTCACATATATTTATAAGTTAAAATAATAAATTAAAATATATAATAAAATTAAATATTATATATATATATATATATATATATATATATATATTACATTAAGTTTAAAATTTTTTATTAATTTTTATCATAAATTTTCTATTAAGATAATAATTTAGAAAGACAAGTTATTTTAATTTAAATATAAATTTTATTAAATAAGATGAGTCAAAAGTTAAATTTAAAAATATTTTTTAATTCTTAATATATTCACATGTTACTTTTTTAACACATTAACTTTCATTCAGTAAATTTAAAAAAATTTGACTGTATTATTTTTTGTTGTCAATTTTATATGTTTACTGTGACTTTATTTATTGAATATAAAATATTTTTATATAAATAAAATATGATCCTCAGAAAATATATATATAATATTTTTAATAATTTTATAAAAATAAATAAAGAAAAATAATGATATAAAATTTTTATAATATGAAAAAATTTATAGTTAATGTTCAAATAATATTTTATAATTTATTTATAAAATTATATAAAAAATTTTAAAAATATATAATAATCATTATTTTTATTAATTTTTTAATAACAATAATTATTATAAATATTTAATATTATATAAATTTTATTTTTTCTCTTTTTTTAAGTAATTTTATTGGACTACAAGTTTATTATAAAAAATGTTATATGAAATAAATATTTTTACTAGATATTCTAATAATTATTACAATTCATATTGAATTTTCTCAAATTTAATTTTTTAAGAACATATAAATTTTTTTAGCCCACCTTAATCTTGTGAGCTTTTTGATATTTTGGGTTTATAAATTGATAGACTTTTTGGCCCACAGAACTTTTTGATCCTAACTCACATAGCTAGAGTTTAGAACTGGGTCAAATGGGCTTAGAACTATTCTTATGTTACTCATAAATAAAGAGAGATTTTAGTGAGAGAATTTGTATACACTCCTATAGAAGCAAGGTTACTAGTGTCTTGTTATTCACGTTTAACACAAGGCTTCAGAAAGATAATTTCAATTTTAGCAATCAATTAGTCGTTATGAATTGTTGTTTTATTCGGCTATCAATGTTTGATTCCCTACAAATGAGAGTGTTCAAGATAATCCAAGCATTAGTGATTTTAATGGGTTAATTTAAAACTTTTATAGTAACTAGTTTTAAAACTTCCATGATTATATTAAAAATATATATGAAAAAATTTATAGTTAATATTCAAATAATAGATTATAATTTATTTATAAAATTATATAAAAATTATTAAAATTATATAATAATCATTATTTTTATTAATTTTTTTAATAACAATAATTATTATAAATATTTAATATTATATAAATTTTATTTTTTCTCTTTTTTTAAGTAATTTTATTGGACTACAAGTTTATTATAAAAAATGTTATATGAAATAAATATTTTTACTAGATATTCTAATAATTATTACAATTCATATTGAATTTCCTCAAATTTAATTTTTTAAGAACATATAAATATTTTTAGCCCACAAAACTCTCACCCTAGTCTTAATCTTGTAAGCTTTTTGATATTATGGGTTTATAAATTGATAGACTTTTTAGCTCACATAACTTTTTTATCCTAACCCACGTAGCCTAGAATTTAGGGCCGAGTCAAATGGGCTTAGAGCTATTCTTATGTTACTCATAAATAAATAAAGAGAGATTTTAGTGAGAGAGTTTGTGTGCACTCCTATAGAAGTAAGGTTACTAGTGTCTTGGTTACTCACATTTAACACAAGGCTTCATAAAGGTAATTTCAATCTTAACAATTAGTTGTTATGAATTGTTGTTTTATTCTGCTATCTATGTTTGATTCCCTACAAATGGGAGTGTTCAAGATAATCCAAGCATTATTGATTTTAATGGGTTGATTTAAAACTTTTATAGTAACTAGTTTTAAAACTTCCATGATTATAATAAAAATTGTGATAATATTTTTACATAACTTCTTACGCTAAATGAATTGACTTTGTTTAACAGTGAACGCTATATAATGATTCATTATTGGATAGCTTATGTGGAAGTAATTCAGTTAGTTAATTGTTACGACGTTAGCTTCCTATAAAATATAATAATAATTTATTTTTTATTATCTACTAGTTTAACCGATATAGTAGAGTTATTATAACAATTATAACTATACCTGCTATAATAAGTCTTCTGTTACAGCAATTTTACGTATAAAACTGCTATAATAATTTTTTATTTTAAATTTTAGTTAATTTGTCACCTATAAAATTTAAGGATATATAGTTTAAATCTATCTATAGAATTTAAATCTACCAAATTGCAACGACATGCAGTCAAACATAAGATTAAATACCCTTAATTGTATTTAAGATGTTACAACAAGAGTAAAATTATTTTAAATATGATAACTTTATTTAAAAATTAAAGAAATAAATATGCATTGTTAAAATTAAGAATAATAAAATTTCACATAAATTAAGATACAAAATTAAAAATACCATGTCAAAATAACAATTATTAGTCTTTAACAGATTTATTTACTATCCCATATTGTTTCCAATAGACTTGATATTGACCGAAGAAACTTGAGTACTGGTTAAAAAGCGAAAGATACATTATTTGAATATAATTATAGGTATCAAGATGATGTCATATTAAGTAGCAGAGTAATCTGGGTCATGTCAAACAGAACTATAAGTAACAAACTTCTCTACAAGGTTTGGCACTAAAACTCATCCTTTAATTCAAGTTTTGAAAATTTGGATGCTTATTATGAAATCCAGATAAAGAAAACACCTTTGAATGAAGAGTTAGTTAATGATAATATATTAATTTTAATATAAAGACGTGTGAGATGTGACTATATAAGAAGAATACATCCTTTTTTTTATGATTTGAATACATCTAATTTTTAAGAGTGAAGACTTCACGAGATGAATATCATCCTTTCTCATAGTTAAAATTACATAATAGTAACTTTTAAAGTACTTATGTGAATCTATAGCATATATTTTTAAATTTTTTGTTAGAGCTTGCTTTATAATACAAAATAACTGAAAAATTATAATGAGTCATAAAAGTAACCTTTCAATCTGAAATTTGGTGTGGGGAAGGTCCGGAGAAAACTGAAAATGTTCCTTCAGGGGTGTTCATTTTAAATTTTATAAGCTTCCCAAAATTTTATAAACTTCCTCCAAATATGATTTTATAATATTTTATTTTTTTTGTAATATTGTAATATTGTTATAGATCTTGTTGTTTCATAACAATAGCATTAAGAAATAGCTGCTACTCGGAAGACAGGGAAACTGTAAAAAATTACACACTACCGAAAAACTAGACTAAGCAATTTTGATCATATAATGGAAGTTGAGAATGTAAATCTAAAGGAAAAATTTGAGAGCAATTAAGAGTGATTCCTCTTACGATAAATTAAGTGTAATTAAATGCACAAACGTGGCAAAGGAAAAAACTTGAGTACTCCAGGAAAGCAAAACAAGCGTATTTCCTTTCCTAAAGCAAAATATTTGACATATATGGTTATGTTATTTAAAATTATTTTTTAAAACAAAAATATTAAAATAAAGAAAGACAATTGTGAGAAATATGCAATAAGATAATTGAAATATTACTTATTACTAAGGTGCATCGTACACGTACAGACTTTGGAAGATAAAGTTGATGTCAAAGACACAATGTGAAGCTGTAGCTAATTAGACTTGATAGGCAGCTGGGATGAAGATTATTTTCTTTTAATGATTTTGCTTTGGTGTTGGATCTGATCAGAAAGCTTCAAGTGTGACCGCTCATTTGAAAAAGAAAGAAAGAAAAGGAAATTATAGAGAAGAATAGGAATGGATCAAATACTGTACTCAATATTTTTGTGCCTTCCCCTCTTCTGACTCAAGAAGCTCCTCCAACACTTTGTCATCCAAATACTCAAACTCAAAAACTTGCCTCTTTTGTCCATGAGTAATGGATGATGATGATGATGATGATGGTGCTAAATTTGGAGGGTAGTCCCTAACTTGAGAATGGTACTCATTAGGAAAATTCAAAATTGCAACATGACCCCTCAATCTAAAGGCTGCTTGATCATAAGCTCTAGCTGCTGCTTCAGCCGTATCAAAGGTCCCTAACCACAACCGTGACCCTTGCCTAGACGGGTCTCTAATCTCTGCCGCAAACTTACCCCATGGCCGCCGCCGAACACCTCGGTACCGGACTCCTTCCATTTCCTTCTCCTTCAACTTGCCATGCTTTCCCTTCTTCTTGGCATATTCTTGGCTTGTGTTAATCAATGTCCTTTTATTGTTTTGGTCACACATACTTTCACTTTAACACGTTTTTGTGATTGGCAGAGAGGAAAGTTTGTTTGTGAAAAATGTGACATTGGAAAAAATAAGTCACCTATCTTAATCATGAAAGTTCAAGATATTTTTAGAATATATTATTTAAAAAATAAATATTTAAAAGGACACGTTATCATTTTATGATATTATCATAAATAATTATAATTACAATAAATATTTATTAATTAACTTATAACTTGTGTTAAAATGACAATTAATAAGATCTAGATAGAAAATACAGACTTGTCTCACATTTGTAGGGATGAGGTTAACAAAATGGTGTGTTAATTTGTAGACTATGACACATTCTACAATCCTCAATCTGTCAATCACCATGTCGTGCTGGCTTGAAAGTAAAACCAGAGATTTGTAGGATTGCGTGGAATTATTGTGCAAGATAGCAAGATAAGTAGGTACACATAATTCTGTCGTGTCTATTTTAACTTGTTTTTGTGTTTTTACCTCTTAACCCGATTGCTTTATGGTTGTCAATAGTGTGACAATGCGCAGCAGTGTGTGGCGAAGCTGCCTTTTACAGCAATAGACTTGCCATAGTGAAGTTTCTTATTGTTGTTGCCATTGCTATTTTTTTATTTGCAGTCATGACATCTTAACTAGTGGCTCTTCGCAACAATGCACTAAAGTAAAATTGTTAACTTTTCTATTTTACCTCCAAAACAAAATTGTTTTTAAGATTTTTAGAGGTAAAAAATACTTTTTGTCTTTAAAAATAAATTGTTTTTCCTTTCTTGCCTTTGTTAGAGTAAAAATGTTAACTTTTCCGTTCTACTCAAAACAAAGCAGATTTTTAAGATTTTTAAGGATAAAACAAGCTTTATCTTTTAAAAATAAACTAACTTTCTTTTTTTTCTCTTAAAATGACCTTATTTTTTAAAGGTAAAATAAATTTTTTATCAATTTTTATAATACAATCATCTAATTTATTTTCCTTCTCCCCTTCTCTTATTTGGGCAGTCTTATCCTATCTTACTTGAGTGAAAATGATCTCGCTTGAGCAAGATCACTCTAGAGTGTCCAATTCTACACAAATCGATCTCCCTTGAATGAGAAAATCTGCACCAGAACTCCCATTTCTCACACTAATACATAAAACACTTAACAATTAATCACAACTCCATTATAAATGTACCAAAATAATTAATCGAATAGCATTGTAAATGTACAACTTTCATCCAACAACTAAACAGCTCATGCATTTCATTCCCATTTTCATGCATACAATCAAGGGACTACAACACAATTTAAATGAATAATACATATATAAATTGTTCGATATGCAAGTGTACCCATTGAGATGTAATAAAGGGATCTTAGATTAAGTTTTCGAAATATCGTCCCACAAGGATTATTTTTCAATTACTAAGAATCTTCTAATTTAATTGTTTAAGCTTAAAGTGTAACACCTTAAATTTAATTTCAAATAAATAATACTTTCGCAAATTTGAAATAATAAAAGTTTCATTAAACATTTCGAAATAGGGAAAGAGTTACAAGTTTATATCAAATAACTACTACAGGACAATTTTAAATACAACAATTTCAAATTAACATTCTAAGCCCTATAGCAGTTCCATCCAATCCTTTACTGAGTCCGGTGTTGATCGTCTTGATTATCTGAAAAATAAATATAAGGGTGAATACTCTACATTACCAAACACACAAACAAGTATAGAGTCTCACCTTGCACTTAATTTACATTATTTCTAATACACTTCACACAATATAATCACAGGCAGCATTACCACTCAATTCATTTCTAATTCAACTCTGATGCACTCACGGCTCCAAACAATTGACACACGTAATTATCAAACAATAATCTCGTGCACTTACTGCACGCCAGCCAAGCTCACTGTGGCACTTACTGCATGCCAGCCACACCTTGCCTCCATGTTAGAAAATCATGATGAGGACACCTCCTCAAAAGCTCTTCAAATCACTCTCATGCCTCAAACAAGGATTCTACTTCATATTGTTGGAAGCAACATATCTCCGTTATAAGTTTAGAGGACCTTGATGGGGGAAAGTACTTTTTCAAGAATTGTTGAGTGAGATCTTCCCAAGTTGTGATGAAATTGGCTAGGAGTGAGGCGAACCATGCATTCACCTTTTTAGATACCGAAAAGGGGAAAAGACAAAGTTGAATAGCATCGTTGGAGACTTTGTTGTATTTGATGGTATCAATCAATCGAAGAAACTTTGTCAGATGGAGATTGGGATCTTTGTTGAGCATGCCTCCAAACTATATAGAGTTCTGAACCGCAGTTATAAGTGCTAGTTTCAATTAAAAATTGTTGGCCTCTACATTAGGAGCCGCGATACTTTCAGGAGTGCCTCTCGCAGTAGGTGTCATGTGATCTTGAATTGATCTTCTTCCCTCTTTCATTCTTTGCTCTCTCACTTCTTTTCTTTATCTATGCGTTGTTCTCTCAATCTCTAGATCAAATAAACAAGCTGTAGAGCACTTAGAACGAGTGAACATACAAAAAAAATTATAAAATTAAAATTAAAATAAAAACAAAAATAAATAAAATAAATAAAGAATTTTTTTTTTTGAAAATAAACAAAACAAAATTAAAGCAAAACACAAATTGCTCAAATCAATTAAATTTGAAATTTTTTTAATAATAAAAAAATAATTCCTAACAACGGCGCCAAAAACTTGTTAAGTGGGTAAGTGTACCCGTAAAAAAGTAATAAAAGGTTCTTCGATTAAGTTTTTGAAATATCGTCTCACAAGGATTGTTTTTCAATTACTAAGAATCTCGTAATTTAATTGTTTAAGCTTAAAGGATATAAGATGAATTAAAAATAAGAATTTGATTATAAAATCAATTGTAAACTTATAATACAATGCACGTCTTAGTTGAACATATCAGAGAGAAACCTAGGGCATATGGGTTTTCTTATTCAATCCTTTATGTTATTTTTTCGTTTAACTCTATATTTGATTCCCTTGTGATTACCAATCATTCATACAATTACTATTAATACACAATGGTCATGCAATATTAATATTCTTTTCTCTAAACTAACATCCTCAATAGTCATGCAAGATATTAATTAAAGAAAGTTTAAGGCACCTGTGAACTTATTAATTTAATAACGATTAGAAGAGAAAGATTGGTTTGGTCCACCTAATCCTTTGTCTCGTTTTATCCTATATATTACATTAACTAATCGAGGTACAATCACCTGATGAAATAATTAATTAGGATTATAATTATACGTAATAGGATAAAAGCTAATCATGAACGGAAACCAAATATAGATTCAAACTTCAAAATCATAAATTCATAAACAATAGTTTCTATAGCCCTAGCTATGGACTTAGTTACTTATGTTAAAAAAATGAACTAAAACAATCATAAATAAAGTCATAAAGAAAACCAAAATAGAATGAGATGAGTTTTCGGTCTTCAAGTACGGTCGCTCAAAGCTCTAAGTCTCGCCAAGAGTATGCAAACAATCCTTTGCAAGAGAGATGAGATGAGAGGTGTATTAGAGAGCAAAACACGAGATGTAAAAATGACCTCCCACAGAATGCCTAAGGTCTCTCTTTTATAGAGTTTGAAAACCCTAAAAACTCTTCATAATTAGGCTTCTCGCATATGAACACGGCCGTACAAGGCTTTAAGCATAGTCGTGCATGGGTTCGAAGCACCCTTGTGCTTGTTGAAAGAGTCTGGACATACTGACTATTGTGAAGCTCTAATCTCCCATCAATTTGGGCTCAAAACACATTCAAAATCTACTTGTGGAGTCTTCATACTAAATTATGCAATTAACATATAAATCAATGTAAAACTCAAATAAAATTAATATCAAACATGAATATATGGGCTATAAAAGAGAGCTTAAATACAAACTTATCATAAATGTACAAGTCTAACATCATATATATATATAATAAATGTCAAATGAAAATAAAGATTATATTTTAGATTAACATAAATAACATTTTATCTAATATCATTAATGATATAAGACTATTAAAATTAAATTCTTACACAAATGTACGTAAGTTAATTTTCTCTCGTACAAGACATTTATATAAGAGATTGAGATAATTTAATTTCATTTGTACTATCGAATTTAAATAATTAAAAGTAAAAACATTTTAAGATTATATGATTGCATAAAAAAGTTATAAAATTATAAAAAAGCTAACATAATTTAAAGGTATATGATCAACAATGTAGGGCAAATTTAAAAATTATTTATAAAAGTATTAATAAGTTTATGGGTGATTTTCGTCACATATAATTCTGCATTATTATTTTATTATTAAATTTGTCAAGTGGGTTTTTACGTTGATAATAGATAAAAAAAAAACACAATTTTTTTAATAAAACAATCATACATTTATTGCTTGACAAATTTTACTAAAACTACAATATTTCTCTTAATTAAGAATAGCTGAACAGGCAAAGCATTGTGATTTCGCAACCAATCCTACACTTAACGGTAAAATAATCAGCGATCCATCTTTACTAAATTCGGTATCAGTTTAATAATCAACTACTAATCTTTACTGCAAAATTCGTTCACTTGAAAGGATATTTTATTTTTTAAAATTAATAGTTATAATTCTTCCAATATCTTAAGGATTAAAGGGTATTAATGTTAACCAAGCTAAGTCTTTATACAAGTCACCAATTAATCTTTTTAAATTTTAAGGCTTAATTATGTTTTTTATCGTTATAAATATAACACATTTTATGATAAATTCCTATAAACTTTTTTGTTAAATTTTAGTTCCTGAAAAAGTTAAAATGTTAGGATTTAGTCTCTAAACCCTAAAGATCCATCTTGACATCTATTCTCACAAACCCTCACCCTTTTCTTAGTGTTACCATATTAATATTTATTAAAAGTGTTCTTTGGGCATTAAGTGAGGAGTGGTGCAGATGGAGCAGGGGGTTAGGGTCTCGGTATTGGTGTTGGTGTTGGTGGGAGAGAGGGTGGTGCAGATAGGAGAATAGGAAGGAGTGGGGAGGAAGCGCGACATTTTGCTTCATTCCTATTTCATTATATGTATCAATAGAAATTGGTAAAGTCCTTCAAAGCATCTTTATCAATCAAGATATCAATGACAAACTGCCCCATGCATGTACCTCAAACTTGAACGAGGAACGTGGCCAAGTTCACACAAGACCTTTTTATAAAATTGGAACTCAGACCTGCAACCCAATGGAATTCATCAAATGTTCCATTATTGGGATAACATATGGTTGTGGTATTACAAAGGTCAGGAGAGCCATGAATAGAAGAAATGGTTCTCATTTGATTGATGAGACCAAGGAAACTCCATATAAAAATGCACCCATTAAAAGTTTTAACTTTACATATGAAAAGATAATGAATAGAGATTGGGTTAATCAACCTGGTGGAAATGTTAATAAGAATTATTTTTGCTTATTGGCAATCTACAGCTATACCAGAAGTGAAAAATATAGAAAATGTCTCATATGAAACTGAAGAATATTTTTGTGAAAGAAAATTCTTCTTTTGGTCTAAATTTTTTAGATAACTTTTAATAAAAGAGGTGTGGAAAAGAGGTATAGAAAAAGGAGAGAGAGAGTGGGGTAGGAGAAAAAGGAAGAGTTGAGATGAGAGAGAGGTAACAAAAAGAAATGTTGAAGAAGAGAAATGACCTTTATGCAAATATTTAAAATATGTTTAGAAACTTATTTAAAAATATTAATTTTAAATAATAAAAAATTATAAAATTAATGACGTAGTATGACATGTAACTCCATATAAGAATGTTGAGCTGACTTTTCATTAGTCAGCTCACACAAAAATTAAGATTAAATTCTAATTTCTTTACTTTTTTAACAAGTAAATCCTAATAAAAAAATTTATAGAAACTTATCACAAAATATACTATATTTATAAGTATAAAAATATAATTAAGTCAAATTTTAAATATAAAATATCTTAATTTTTTCATTCATTCAACCTAAAATGATTAATTTTTTCTTTTAATTTTTAAAAACTATTTTTTCTTTTTACAGATCAAGGTATCACCGACATTTTTTTTTCAGGAATTAATTTAGATATTCACTTTATTTCTTTTATTTTAAAATTATATAATTTTATTATAAAAATAACATTCACTGAGTTCAAACTTTAGGCATACGGCAATTGACTTGTGTCATGATTGAAGGCAGGACAATTGAAATGTAACGTTCTTGCACGTACGTGACACACGCCTCAATGTTCGTACACATGTTAATCATGAAAATCATTCCTCCCACTGTACCGTTAGCACTTTATTATAATTAAAAAAAATTATTAAATAATAAATCAATCTCTCGTTAAAAATGAGTCTCTTTGACAAGTAAAATGTTAGTAGAAGTCATATACGAATTATTCTTTGTATTTATTGTGATATGTATGAAGAACAAAATTTATTAAAAATAATATGTAAATTGTATATCTCTTACAGTAATAGTTTTATTTTTTATTTATACTTTATTAATTTTATTTTAAAATTTAAAGATCAAAATTATTATTTAAATGTTATTTATTATTTTATATAAATTTCATATTTTTATAAATACAATTATTTTTAAATTTATAAAATTTATCTTAATTTTTTGTACTTTTTTAAATTTAAAATTTACTTTTAAGAGACTTATTTCTTAAATTGTAGTTATTAATATATATATATATATATTAAATTAAAAAAATTTACACTATACATTAAAATTATTATTTTAAAATGAATTATATTTTAAAATTATTTAATTTTATTAAATCTTTATCATTTTGATACATACAATTCATAATTATATAATAAATTTTAATATATGTTTAAATTTACATGATAAAAAAATGAATAGTTGTTTTTTATTGAAAGTCATAATATTGAATATTATTATTAATGTATTAAATAATATCACTTAATTTTTAATAAAATACTATTATATATAATTTTTTGATGTGTTATTGAGTACACATTAAAATAATTGTTTATATAATAGTATTTGTTTACCC